GCTACTCTTAGGCTTTGCCTGGTGCATTGCTTGCTTGGAATAATTTCTTCACGCATTCGTGGCAACAGTGAACGACCATGAGATCCAGATTGTTGCCTGGGGCCGTGGGGTATAAGATACTGACCTGCATGGCACCAGCCAGGCAGGGGCATGCGAGTTCCCGAAGTATCAGCCACCGTGGAACATTGCATCCTGAATCCGCCAAAAATCCGGGCCTCCCAGAAGGATACATGCCAACATGTGCATTTCCCTTCGTCGTCTGCTGCAGTGCATGTACATTAGCGAATGCCATCTTGAGATTGAGACGTGCTGATTTATCCTGAGGCTGCTGACTCCCTGCGTTGAACCAATCTGGTGCATGTCCAACCTTCTGCAACGCAGGCGGACATTGATATGGGAGACGAATTCATGACCACAATCTCCTCGTCTCTGATAGCTGGAATCTGAGTGTCGTCAGGGAGGAGCGCAAGGCATGCCCATTGTGCTGACCGAGGGTTTTCTAGGAGCTGGTACCACGGACACCGACGGCTCACTTGTGAGACCTGCAGGTGTTGCGAGCGCGTCCACGTACTCGTTCACGGGATGCTGCGCGTGTGCATGTACATGATGGAACGCAGACATACGCACAAATAGTGATGCGGAACAACGACCAGAGGCACGATGACAAGCTCGTCAGTGGAGGAATATCCCAGAGACCCTGTGCTGCATGCGTTAAAATGACGCTAGACAGGCGGAACCTGAACTCAACAGACTGGAACGAAGACCGAGCAGCCCAAGACATCGCCCAAAGCAAGTCGAGTGACTCCGAGACCGAGCTCGGCTGGGTCTGCGAGACGCTGTGCGCACCGGACACGTCGGCGAAGTGGTGACCCAGGATGGGCGCCGACAAGAGCACGGAATGCCCACGCTGTTCTTGACTCCGACGATCCCCCACTACCATCGCTGAGAATTTCGGCGTGCTTGACTCTCGACAGATCCCCACCCCAATCCAAGAGATTCGTGAAGGAATCGACCGAGCAAGCCAGCTTGAACTCATGGTGTTTTCGCCAATCAGGATGGCCCATGAAAGACCAAGCGTGGAAAAGAGAATGCGCTGGATCTGGGTTCTGAGTGTACTGTGATCGGATGTCAACTGAATGCGCACTGCTGCTTTGACCGGGAACATCCGAAGCGGCCGAAGCTGGGGCTGCCGCTACCCCTCTCGGAGCAACGCGCACTCGTCCTCAGTGCCTGCTGGGATGGCTTGTGCATCTGCCGGGTTGGCCTTTAGCGTTGTGCCCGCTGGTCTCCTTCTGTCTGGGCTGCGCGATGATCGGGGAAACGTAAGACCCGAGAAAGCTGGAACTCGGGTTTGCCGACTTTTTTGACGAGCGCATCCTGGATTTTGACGGTCCTGTTTTCATGGGATGTCTGCAGCGGGAGCCCGCGTCAGATTTCAGACTGGGTCTCGTCATTTTTATGGTGGCCCCCGCCAGGCCAACCCGAGTTCCCCGTACCCGAGTCT